AGTTGTGTTCAATGGCATTACAACGATAAAAACGTTGCTGAGGGTTAATCCAATGTGTCTGTGTCACTTTGAAATGATTACTGTTAACCCATCTTCATATTTATGTCAATAACGGAGATTTCATATTAGCTGCTACAAGATATGACAGCTTCCGGTTTTGGGCATTCTGGCTACGCATCACTCATTCACCAATGGGTAATGTTTAGATGGATTTTAGGAACTTCCCGCCGATTCTATTGGCTCTAATGGTTAAAAAGAGGTGTCAATCATCAAAATCGACCGAGGGGGGCCAGAGATATGGAAAATGCACCCAAATGACCCCAGAAGTGGGTTTTTTTCTTCTAAACCTCTCTAAAAAGATCAAATGTCACTTGTTTTGCATCAATCCTGATACAGGGTAGTTATGTTATAGTTTGGATTCCTATGGCTTTTAGTCTACTATCCCATCATTCAAGGGTGGTTTTCACAGTGAGTAATGTTTTATTTTTTGGACGGACACTATAATATATTTTTTTACTATGTTCAATCTTAATTTACTTTAAAATAAAAACAATCTATATTGATTCTGACTTTTCTACATCCAACTCACAGGTTTATCATTGCTTTGAGAAAAAAGATGATTAATTTACCCCTTTTTAAGAAGTGAAGATAATAGTCATTTGTTCTGGGAATGTCATTTTCGAGCCTGAGGCCTGAAAAACAGGCTCGGGGCTCAACTGGTTAACAACAAAAAAGATACATAATAACAAATGTATGTCGTCACGAGCCGCTCAATCAGTGGTGTACACTTCATAAGGTATGATGCTAATGAGGTCAAGTTTAAGTGTTATCTCTTCCTCTCTCTATCGTTCCAATGTCATAGATCGGCTATTGATTGAGCTTCACCATGTCAACGCCAATCATCGATATCCTTGTAGATGTTTTGATCGTATTGGCGAATACCTCCAGTCAAATGACAGCAGATATTTGTACCCAAAAAGGGGCGTGGCCATGACGTAGAGTAAAAAAACTACAAAACTGTATAGACTATGCTTAGGGTTGCCCTCGACAAAAAAACTGTTTGACAAAAATGTCTGACTAATGGTCGCACGTATATGATATATTATGATTATTAATATAATTTTTTTGGAAGGTATACTACATCAAAACTACACACTGGGCAACAGACTACAGACTTTTTGGAGCAAAGCTGTGACTGCATTATCTATTATTTAAACCAGGGGTTCCCAACCTTTTTTCCCAAGAGCCCCCCCAAATGACTCCTGTTGGAAGTTGCGCCCCCCCCCCCACACACACACACAAGGGGGGGGGGGGGGTTTAAAAGTCTAAAAAATGCTACAACTACTTTCACAAGCTGGACGAATGTGAAGTATTTTGTAGGATGAAAGCGTAATTAAGGAGCACTATTGGAGTGACTTTGATGGTTATTGGACTCAGGATTAATTTATTTGGATTCCCGCTGTATGAAGAAATTAAAGGACGGCGCACGTGGAAACAATTCACAAAGGGATTAAACTGTTTAAAACACATGCTCAAAGTAAGCCGGATTTTGCCGATGTGTTTATGTGGATTCAAAAGTCGTAAATAATCTACAAAATGGAGGAGACCAATCTGATCGGAGCAACTGTGACAAATAATCCAACTGAAACCGGCATGGACAATGACTATGTTTTAAAAATGCGCTTATCCAGAAAAGCCCGGTTTGGACACTTTATGGGCAGAAGAAACATTTCTATTAAAGAAAGAATTATACATTTCTGTATTTGTATGCCTTTAATAGCTACTAACTTGAATTGTTATTCAAATTAATTAATCAATTATTTTTTATATTTTATTGTAATGTAGAGACAAGGCTTTTAGTGACAATCATGTATTGCTTTACAATTATATGTAAAAAAATAAATTAAAAAAAGTCTAAATATGATATTTGGTCTCAAATCATCTGAGGCCTGGCGCCCCCCCTGCGATCTTTGGTTTAGGTTGGGAACCACTGCTCTAGGGACAATGAATGCATGTGCAAAACTTGATGGCAACCCATATAATAGCTGTGAGATATTTTAAACTGGACCAAAGTGACGGATCAACAAACCAACCAAACATTGAAAATCTACAAATTCTTATCTGCTTTCATTGGATGCATTCCTAAATTCTCAAATAAGTCAATGGAGGGCTTTGAATCTCAAAGTATGAGCCGAAAGGAAAGATCAATGAAAAGGCCGTTTGATTTGCTGTTTTATTCTGTATCTTCCTGTGCTAAAAACTATTTAAAGTCAGAGGACCAGAACCAGTTGAGTTTACGACATCAACTTCTGTTTTATCTCTCTAAGAATTACCAGAACTCTAGGGTACTATTTAATGTAAGAGGCTGTTGTCATGCCCTCCTCCAGTAACAATAACAAAGACTCTCTAAAGCCCACATAGGAGTCGTTTTCCGGAAAAGGTGCCAAACATCAGCCTCTGAGCTTTTCCCTGCCAACCAAGCCTTCCCCCAAATACTTATTTTGGCAATAGTTTCCAAAGAAACCATCCTCACAAGTAATTTATTTTCCCGTTTTGTGAATGTTATTTTAACTGTATTCCTGAAGGAAGTCTTTGATACGGTTGCTATTGATAATCTATTTGTAATTAACACCATATTACCCTCCTGCTTTAAATATGCAACAGTTCAAGGCCCTCTAGAGGACACCTTATTATAATTGTCTTGCTTGAGGCAATTATAGATGGACTGCAATCTTCAAACTGCCTTTTTTTCATCTAGCAGTTTTAGAAGCAGTTTCCTCACATGTATCATTTATGGATAACCACATATCAGGGAAACTGCAGTGAGAATTGTACAGTTCTTCAAAGGCCTCAAAGTAATTTCCACCTCCCTGCGTGTAATACTGTCTGAACCCCAAAGACCAATGCTATTATCATGTAATTTAATGTTATTCAGACATATCTTCTAAAGCTGATTAGCTAACTCCCAAATGGGCCCAATGGTGTGAGTCTGATTGATTGATTTGATTCATAATGGGCTCTCAGGGTTAATTTAAGCCCAATGCTGGTTTTATTGCATCCAAGATGTCTACTTCCACCATGACTCACACAACACTTTGCCAGATCTTATAACTTAACTTGATTCATCAACTTCTTTACATAAAGACGTCAACAACTGAAACTTTCTGCAGTTAAGGGAATAACATAAAGTACATTTGGCACACTCAGTTCCATTAACCTTGAAAAGTACAGTCTTAGTTGTTGGTCAGCCAAAATTGAGCTTGCCAGAAGGAATCAGAAAGTTGTGTTTGCCTTAGAGTTGCATCAGCAGCAAGGTAAAAGTAGGGAGTTATTCTAAGAGGGTACTGCCAGAGAGGACGGTTACAGGGAGCTGGAATTCATAGCTACTGCATAATGAGTCTGTCCTTGAAGGCACATATCAGCATATTGATTATGAGTCAAATGATGAAAAGATTGCATTATCAACGGTAAAATGGCTAGTGAAAAGGAATTTAGACACAATCGTTTTTTTGGACCTATTTTGTTCACACTATATATGCTTCCGCTAGGCAATATTGTAAGGAATCATTCTGCAAATGTCCACTGTTATGCGGATGATACTCAACTATATTTATCCATCAAGCCTGATGAAACCAATCACCTAAATAAAATGCAAGACTGCCTCAAGGACTTAAAAACGTGGATGACCTTAAACTTTTTGATGTTAAACACGACCAATACTGAAGTTATTGTACTCGGCCCAAATAATCTACGAAACAAACTATCTAAAGATATACTAACTCTGGATAGCATTAATTTGGCCTCCAGTGAGACTGTAAGGAATCTTGGTGATATTTGATCAAGATTTATCTTTTAACACCCACATAAAATCCATCTCAAGGACGCCTAACATGTCACCCACTGACACATTAAAAAATGTTTTAGGGTTAAACCTGACTGGTTTTCGGACCCCCCCAGACCCCCCCAATACAGCAAAACTGCACGTTTCAGAGTGGCCTTTTATTGTGGCCAGCTTAAGGCACACCTGTGCAATAATCATGCTGTCTAATCAGCATCTTGATATGCCACACCTGTGAGGTGGGATGGATTATCTCGGCAAAGGAGAAGTGCTCACTATCACAGATGTTTTCAGATTTGTGAACAATATTTGAGAGAAATGGTTATTTTGTGTATATAGAAAATGTTTTAGATCTTTGAGTTCATCTCATGAAAAATGGGAGCAAAAACAAAAGTGTTGCGTTTATATTTTTTTTCAGTGTATATATTTCATCTTTAAGCAACCAGAAAATGCTCCATTTGGGTTAATTACACACAGTTAAGTTCACTTACACTATTTTATGGCTCAGTCAGTAGGGACTCGGACTGTGAACCGTAAGGTCGCCAGTTCAAGTCCCCGAACAGACCCAAATATGGAGTGTGGACTGCTAATTTGAGAGGTCCCAGTTCACCTCCTGGGCCCTGCCGTGGTGCCCTTGAGCAAGACACCAGACACCTTATTTAAAGTATGAGCCTACAAAATAGTACAGTTTACAGAGAAGAAATAAAATCTGAGCCTTTACAACAAACACTGTTCTTTTTGGTGTTTAACTAACATTGCAGTCCTGCTAGTAATCCTACATTTTTAGAAATGTAACAGTAATCTGATTGCGTCTTTATGTAACTGTAAGGAAATTCAGTTACCTTTTTTGTATCCTCATTACTCGTTACACTTACATGTATTCCGTTACTCCCCAAGTCTGTCAATAAAGTAAAGTATATTTGATCGAATCTATAGCTGCATCATCAGGTCAAAAACAAACACCTGCAAAACATTCTGATCATCCTCAGTTTCAATTTCTCTTAGCTTATTCAAAAAATATGAATGCTAAGCTAAAAACATTGAACATAGTTAGATCATACCATCACAACATCACCAACATAAGGCTATTGGAGATTCTAGCATGGCTCTGGACTGTCACTCATGTCAGCTATAAAGCAAATAATACATCGCAATAGACAGATTTTACATGAATAGAGTCTTTATTGTTCATCGCTCTTTCTGCACAAGTAAACAAAAGTTCACATTTGAAACAAGATCGATAAAGTAAAAGGGAAGGAAGCAAAGAGATTATCGAAGGGAAGAGAAAATGTCTGTTATTTGTTGCATTTGTGATAAACGTAGTTGGACTGTCTGCAAAAGTCACAAATTGAAATGATATGTAAATGTAGGGAAACTGGACAACATTATCAACTCACCATATAACAATGTCAGAAACATTAGCATTTTTGGAAGCGATACTTATCACTTCTAAACTACATTGCTTGATTTTATTTTATGACTGTGAGCTACACACAGCTCTGCTTTGTCAAGAGGGGTTATAATCAAATTTCATTACAGTGCTCTATCTTTTTCTTTAATAAAATCCTATGATTACTCTGAACCTATTTATGATGATTCGCACCATTCACAGTCAACACAGAGACATCTAATTGAAAAACTAAAAATCTAAAGTTCAAAAGGTTATATATTACACAGGCAGTGAAGAAACTAATACGTTTTTAATAAATATCATTTTAAGTTAAATTGCAAATGTCCTGGTGGGCAGCCAATTGTAACGCCATAAATTAATACAGAAGACCCTCTATTAACAGAAGGCATAGAACGCATGAATAATTCATCAACTAGAGAATTATTGAAGTCCTCCCAAAACATTCAACTCACATTATGCTAACGGTCGAAAAGTGTACAATGCAATGGCTCATTACAGCAGTATAGACTTTGAAGCCTTGAACTCAAGACACAACATGTTTTTCTTCATTCCAGAAAAGCACAAACACATATTCAGGCGTGCATGCATTGATGTAACACATAAGAAAACAAAGACATCTGCTTCCATTAAGCGCCGATACATAAAAGTGCGAGAGGAGGAATAAGTCAGAAGGTCATGAGAACGTCTCGCTCTTGCATGCTGGTGTAGAACGGCTTGCTGAACACGAACGAGTGGAGTCCCGCCCTCAGCTTCTCGGCGAAGGCCATTACGATGTGCAGGTCCCCCTCCACCGTCAGATCCAGGTCTGTCTTTAGGTTGCGCAGGGATCGAAACGGCTTCTTCCCTTTCTGCCTGTGAACAGAGAGGAGAGGCTTTGTTGTGTAACTGCTAACAAGCCACAGCACTCGGGGGTCAGAGGATTTGCATCTCGTTGGGCTGCAGCTGTGCACAGGAACGCCACGCCACCATGAATTATGTATGTCGCTGACAGCAACTGTGCATAAACAATCTTGTCGAGGCACCTGTAATATAGTATGCCCCTTGACCTCAGGCTGTTAGCAGCACCAGAAACAAAGGATGCTTTTTTTCCCCTTTCGCAGTTAAGATAGTCCCCGGAGTGAGATATGTTCAGGCATTTACTCGGATTTCCATTTACTTACGTTAGATTCTTACGTGTTGCATTAAGATTCAAAAGTCCAAAAAGTTGTGTAAATATGTGGAGATTATGCGGCTGAACAAATGTATCATAAAATCGCATTGCCCCAAAATTGTTATCATTTATTTTTTGCAATATTCCAAAATCCAATGGAAAAATCCCATTGATTTTGTTGAGGAAGCCCTTTTCATATTTATGTCATTCCTGCACCACTAGACTATTAAACTATACAAATATATAATAGTAAAAATACACAATGATGCAGAAATATTCATTCTAAATACATAGGTTGAAAATGTATACAATTAATAAAACTATATTATATTTATTATTATTATTATTATTATTATTATTATTATTATTATTATTATTATTATTATTATTATTATTATGTACTCCCATAGTGGAACACCTTACTCTGTTATCAAAGAACAAAGGTTATGTTAAGTAAACCAAAGTTTAATCCACTCTTAATCCTGTTATATTTTAAGAACCTGTTAATTAGTTTTTCAGAGCAAGAGAGCTAAGCATTTTCTTTATAACAATGTAACTCTTTTTAAATTAGAACAACGAGGGATTTAACCGTACCTCAAAAGTACATTTTTCAAAAAGGTTAGAGCTTTATAACTAATTCCCATTATACATCTGGATATATTGTAATATTACACTTTAATGCCTATTTGTTGGTGTTGAGCCTTTTAAAAATAAATCTTTTAATGAATTAATAAAACGGTTCACTCTGCCGCTTGTTGGAAATACCATAGGTTACGTAAATATGATCGAAATAACAAAACATTTATTTTCCAACTTTTCTTAGGGTAATAATGTCATAAAATATGAGAACAGATATTTGAGGCTTTGTTTGAAAATTGCCTAAAAACTGAGTGTAAAAAGATCAAAAACGATGACATTCAGTAGAGATGACGGTTGCGGTCCTTCAATCCAATATGATAAGCCGACACAAAGGTAATGCTCTGTAGATCTAGGTGTTCATTCCGTCTGGGTTCATCACTACAAATGACCCCTTTCACATTACATACAGTTGTATGATTCATTGTTAATAAAGAATATTCATTAGTGCAGCTTTAGCATTTTTAATATGGTGCCGCCAAATGAAAGCGCAGCTTCAAAATGGTGTGTGTAATTGTGAGTGTATAGGCAATTTGTGTGCACACAGGCTTGATTGATTTACAGATTCAACAATTAAATCTCTCTCCCAGAGTAACATGTACTGCCGTGTCAACCAATGTTCACTAAACGTTGTTAGATTTAACTGACTTTCTACTGTAAACGGTGTAAATGTACCCTTAAAAAATATGTCAAGCTTAAGAAATGTAGTTAACATTAAGAAATGTAATCAACATTACGACAAAGCGGAATGAAGAAGTGCCAGAAGCAAAAGTTACAAATATCCTGGCTTGCACGATAAAGAACCATTTGCTCAAGAGTCCTCAAACGTCTTTGGTAAAAAAGAGAATAGTCAAATCATGTAGAAGTAGAAAAACAGACGGGGGAGTGACTGCTGTCCTAAAGGAGTGGGAAGGTTAGTTCACTGTCGGGGAGCACAGAAGGAGATGAGTCATGCCCAGATGGAGCGATGACCAGGGTGCCACAGGGAGGGGGGCACGGAGCAGAATTTCAGGAAAGATGAACCCGCGGTGTCTCAGAAGAATTTTCGGGGTTAAGAAGGTGCTTACTGTAAAACTGATGGGACTGGAGTGTGACTAGAGATACAATTATCTAGTTCTTGCACTAGGATCTGAACAAGTTTCCCAGAGAGGAGGATAATCACATGGAGGGTAAAGCTATAGTACTGGTTTAAGGTTGGGCCATCGAACAAGGGCATGGTCCATCGCGATAACAGAAACTTTACCAATGGTACTCACATTTTGCAAATACTATTGAATGTGAACACAACAGGTGTCAATCCCAAAACAATTACAGTGATCGGTTTGGATAGTGGCATTGCCTATTTCTCCTGACAGAATGTTTCCAAAGGAGTGTGTTGGCTACACAAAGCGCTACTGCTACAATTACATTTAAGGTCTAGGGAAGGCATTTTTTTTCTAGCGAAATAACGTTTTTCACCAGTTGTTTTGTCCAAACCTTGGATAGAACTAAAAAAAAAGTCTGCCTTATGCTCCAACTCTGGCTTGTTTTTTATGTTCTTTGCTGAGATGGGCCATGTAGCGCTGAAACGTGTCTTTTTTTTAATTTTCTTTAAAAGGTCTTACATTTTAAATGATTTCTCTATTTTACAGTCTTGTTTTCTGTATTACTTATATCTTAAGAATAAGGATTAGCACATGCAATTTTTGTTTTTATAGAAAAAACGTATATTGGGATCCCCGAATCAAAAAACGACCTGACAAACGAATAAACGAATAGTAAAAAATATGGGTCCATCCCAACTTTAGCTAAATTCAAGCCCTGAACATGGAAAAGCTCCCCGTATTCTGCAGTTTCACAAAGTTGTGATGTCTGCCATTTTAGGCAAGTTTCATCGCTGGCCCACGTAGGCTTTCAGATAAACTCGACATATCTCTATGCCTTCCAGGAGCTCAATCTTCACGTCTTCCCATACTGCTTTACCGCAACTACGGTCCCTCCCGTATGGTACTCAAACAACTTTATTATCAATCCTGAATTTGAACACCATGATCGTAACAGTTTGCTTAGTTAAAATTATAGAACCTTTATCGTGGTATTATAAGACTCACCATTGTTGGTATCATCATCCATTGCAATATTTCCCTGTGGACATCGTCATATGCCAATCGGTCACCAAACCTTTGTTTATCCTTCAGTTAATGTTGTGTCAACTGCCTTAATGGCACGACACATTAATGCAAAGTCTGATGAGAGGCACTCATAAGCTATCGGGTCACCTTGCAACCTGCCATACAGTCTCATTTACGCGCCTCAGGAGGGGCAGAGAAGTGAGAGTCTCTTGTCAGTGATCAAATGAGGATCATAAAAACTCTGATGATGCTGATAATGATGAGGGTCTCTCAGATGTTGAGCGGTGGGGACTGGGAAGGCTATGGCATGTGCTTTGCATCACTTTCTTTCCCTGCACATTATTCACCTTGTGCTATTTGGATGGGGAAGCTGTCACTCTGGGATTATGTTGAGGATTTATCACACTGCGTAGACAGACAATCAGCTGCCTATTCTTCTAGTTTCCCCCAGCACCAATCACCTCATACCAGCCCTGTGAGCATGACTCACCAAATGTACTTCATGTCATTTAGGGTAACGATGAGGCTGCAACTAATGAGTAATAACGTATATACATTTAGTCGATAACATTAGGATTCCAAGTTTAAAACCCAAAGATATTTTAAAATGATATGAGATAAATAAAAACTCTTGCACCAAGCCTATTTCTCAAACACATCCATTGATAGCAACTTGAAACCAATTGATATGCAGTCTAATATTATTGTTTGATTTGGTTTGAAGTGCTCTCAACTACTAAAGGTCTGAAATGACGGACATGTCTTCTTACTGTGTTTCAATCAAAGAATATAGTTTTCATGTTTAACAATCAGATAAAGTATGTCATAACTCCTGCGCATGAGAACTGCTATCCTGGTGTTACAGGAAGACATAGGGCAATCATAAATATAGATTGCCTGTTGATCTTACGTTTAAATAAAAGATGTACAGTATGATGTCTATGTCTTTTCAACCTCATGCAGGGGACACGAAGTGAACAGCAGACTTTTACATTGAAGTTTACATTAAACCTTTCGGGACTGAGGATTTAGAAACAGACTGTGTTGGTGTGTGTCAGAACAGGGTGATGGATTCTCTACTGCTCTAATGCCGGTGTTCTTTACACTTTTTCTTCTGCAAAAAGTAGCCTGCTATTACTGTTGTGGTTTAGAAATCTGAGGGCTTGTGTTCAGCCCGCACTAATGTTTTCCTCTTTTGCCTACTGTAAAAAAAACACACTAGACCAACCCTAACAACCCCTAACCCTAACCCGTGGTGACGTGTTTTTGTAGACCAACTTGGAAGTAAGCTCCGCAAGGGCTCCCTCTACAAAAATGGTACGTTCCCATTCGATCTTTGGTTTAAGAAGAAAATAAGCTCTGTTGGAAACAATCATTTTACTTTTATGATTTTTGAAGCGTAAATGCAATCACCAGAAACAAAAAGCTAACGTAAGGCTATCAACAAACTAGTTCACGGTCATATCGCCAACGCTAAGCTAAAGGTGGCTAATTTTTGACGTGATGACATTTTGTGATCTCCTTTAGTTTAATGATGTGGACCAAAACAACATTTCATCTCGAAAGCTTCTGTTCATCACAGACCTGATTTAAGATATCTTACTAAAAACAGGGTCACTGTTTACTTCGATTCAAGATAATCGGAAGCCGTAAAATGCCAACTAATTTCTGTTTTTAGGAGTCATTCCTGTACTACCTCTATGTTGTTGGTTTCAGCTGGTTCCCCACACAGGATAACAATTTGACATATTTGCACTCAGAACGGGGGGACGTGTGTTACATCAGACCTCACAAGGCTTTTGATTTGTATCCTGTGGCTAACAGTGACATTCAGCGCAGGGTCAGTGGCTGCAGTGCAAAGTCAAAGAACTGAATTAAAAAATGTATTCTACAATACATCCTGGGAATTTTATTATCTCAAGATATGTGGATGTTGACATACTGTATATTGTTGTTTTTCATTTTCGGTACAACAAATATTTAATCTGAATGAAATGATCATGTTTTAATACCACTTTTGATAATCACGGTGAGCTTTATCAGGGGGGAAATGCTAAACAGTAGGTTTTATTTTTCTCTTTATTTATTTCAACCCTGAACTCTCTTGCTTCAAATTATTTTAAAAAGGCAACAGGTTCTCAGAATATTACAGAAACCCCATATAATTGATATTTTTTAATATCCTTAGTTTTCTTTCTTACGTCTTTAATTATTTTTTAAATATTACATCTATTTTATTTTCAACCATATATTTATAATAATGTTGTATCCGTAATTGCAATGTTTTTATTTCCATCCATTAATAATTATTGAATAAAAAATACATTTGATAAAAAAATGGTGGACAAATAGAGCATCATCATGTATTTAGCCTTTTCTGTCTCGTCTTGTCTTTCTGTGTGAGTGCGATGGTCTTTCGCCAAACGACAGTCCTCTGGGTTATTTGGATGAAAGTGTTATTGGTTACAGCTCTTACGTTTCGTCCTCGATGTACTTGAGCAATGTGAGGGCCTTCCTGTGGAGCAGCAGCAGGAACTGGGCCAGATAGGTGCTCCGCAGGGACAGGCCCGGCTTCAGCATGAACACCTGGGGACGACACAGGATGTCAATTAGTAGTCCGGCCTACTGCTCGCTGTAGAAGGCTGGAATAATGCACTCCAGCTCCTTTATGCTAACCTTGAGAGAGAAACATGTTGCTGTTGTCGTGAGAAAAACTTGTAAACCCAAACCCTGGGAGCAGAGTGGTGGGAGCATCCCAATCAAGAGTTTGATACAAAGCCTGGTCAGTGTTCAATCGCACTGCACCCCAAACAAAATATCAATACAATGTTACAAATGGTATAACATGGATGTGTGGATGTATCATTGGTGTTTCGTCGTTGTCACATGGGTGCAATATGTGGGTGTAAAGTGAGTAAATCGTGGGTGTTACATGGTTGTAACATGGATGAGATGTCGATGTAACATGGGTGTGACGTTTGTGTTACTTGGGTGTAACATGGATGAAATGTTGGTGTAACGTGGGTGTAAGATAGGTGTTATAACATGGTTGTATCATCAGTCTAGAATGGGCGTATCATTGGCCTAACATATATGTAATATAGGTGTATCATAGGTGTAAATTATATGTAATATAGGTGTATCACGGGTGTAACATATATGTAACATGGATGTAATATGCATGGATGTAATATGGTTGAATTATTGGTCTAATATGAGTGTAGCATAGGTGAAATTTGGGTGTATCATGGGCTGCACATTGGTGTAATATGGGCATAACGTGTAAAACTCATCTTGGGAGATACAGAGTATACATTTGAAATAAAGTTAATATTTTCAGAACAAGCGATGAAATTGTGTTCTATTAGCCTAGATACATTAGAAAAGAGCAATTAATCCCTTTTTCCATGATACACTCTTGCTCCTTTGTGCTAACCTTGAGAGAGAAACATATTGCTGTTGTCATGAGGAAAAACTTGTAACCCCCACTCTGGGAGCACTTTCACAGGAACAGATGATGGGTTTGGACCCTTGGGAATACATTTGACTGTTTTTGTGTCTATGAGCTCTAGGGACTGCATCAGTGAGGTGTCATTCAAGTGTGTGTTGCTGCCTGATACAAGTATGGGTCTGTGCTAAGAAGCACTGTACTGCAGAATAAGTAAAAATGGATCAGACACTTTTTTTGTCTTAGTGACACTGTTCTTTTTTTGCTCTTTCCGATACATACCTCTCACAGAACTCAGCAGGAATACAGAACAAAGCAATGTATATATTCCTTACAAACAGATTCATATTGGTGGTTGAAAAAAAAAAAGGGTATGACTTCTATTTCATTTCAAATGTAAATAGTGCTTTTTATCCAGTGCTTTACCATTTCTCAAATTTTCGCTCTAAATGATAATAATGGGAATAATAAAAGTTTGCTGAAATGTTGTATTTGATGTCATTATTTCTTTCAATATCCTGAAGGCTTTACTAATTCCTTTTTATTTCTGTCTTTATGTTGGGATTGTTTTTTATTAAATACAAAATTATATAAAAATAAATAATACAATATAAATAAAAAATATTCTTACCTCGTCTATAAACGACTTCACCAAAGTGTCTTTATGCATGACGTCTTGAAATATATTCCTTGGGGAAAAATACGTATTGTGCTTAAAATATGAAATAGCATATTTTTGGGGAACAGTGTTAAAAGGTGCAAATATAACACTATTAAAAATGCAGAAAATGCAGTGTGTGTGTGTGGCTCACAGGTCAGGTGTGAAGGTCTCGTCGGTGTGAATGACTGTTTCGGGGGGGATGTCGTCCTCGCTGTCCGTCTTCCAGAGCGCGCTGAGCTCGGAGCGCATGTAGCGCCGCTGGTTGTATGTGTGCTCGTGGCACGGTGGCATCTGCTTCACCGTGTTGATGTCCACGTCGATGTGCGTGGTGGGATACGGGGAGTAGAGCACCTGGCGGAAGGGCAGGACGAAGCTGCCCGTGGAGTCCTGGGGATAAAACATTAAAGAAGGGGGGAAACCCAGTAATTTAGCTTTCATCCAGAATGACTTATAGACACTACAACACCGTAGACCTATGTGAGCAATTTGGGGTTAAGTATCTTTCCCAAGTGTGTGTGTGTGTGTATGTGTATGTGTATGTGTGTGTGTGTGTGTGTGTGTGTGTGTGTGTGTGTGTCTCAATGGGAGACACTATTATCTCAAAAACATTGTTTACATGTCACAGTTTCTTTACTCACAAAGGATTTTCACTAAAACTCTGACGTTACATCCCTCAGAGATGTCTATTCTTCTTCTTTTTTAAAACCCATACTGTGAGAAAGGAACTAGATTATCTGAAAGATTACTTATTTTTGTTTAAACCAACAGTGTGGGGGCACCTGCCAGAGACAGAGTCACAGGGACTGACCATAAAACAGGAAAGGGATATAAAAGAAGGGGGAGGGTCTGGAGGGGAAGGTGTTTTGACTCTGGAGCCTAGGGTGGGGGAAAGGAAGAGGATTCATTTGAAAGATCTGACTTGATTGTTGTGTTGATTGAAGGAAGAGACACGGGCGAGGAAGAAGTAGAAAAATAACTTGTTTATAAAAAGGACAGCACGTCTTTTTTCTCAAATGTATGTCAGTTTCAAGAAAGATGAGTGGTTTTATGCATGAAGTGCAAAATATCCTGGAACCCTTCAAAAAAGACAAGCAGCTACAGGTAAAGTATGTTGAAACATTTCACAAACAGCGAGTTGTATGTTGTAATAGTTTTATGTTGATAAAAATCAACGTAGTTTTTCAAAATATAATGAACGAAGTGATAGAGGGAAAAAATAGCACAGTATTTCGAAGATATGAAAACAGCACGTTGAAAAAAGTAACGTTATGTTAGAATAACATGAAATAATTCACAGTAAAGCATCAAAAAAACCATTTA